ACATAGTCTCCCCTGCTCTGCACAATACCAAAGGAAGGGGGTAGTCCAGGGAAGCAAGGAAAGACCCTTGGGTTGCCAACTTTCCAGGGATCCCCCAAAGATTGGAGATTCCATCTCCATTAGGGAGATTCGGCCAGAGGGGTCTCACTGTCTCTCTAAAAAGGCAGTGACGATTCTGTGAGTGGAGGCAGTGAACTTACAAAGTGAGATACGCCCACGGGACGAGGGTGGGAGGCAAACAGCTGAGTTGTAAACTGGAGCCCATTTGGCCATGGTAGGCAACCAAGCTTGGTTCAGACAAAGGAAGGAAACCCTTTGCAGGCCTTGGTGAGGAACTCATTGGGGCCAGTCCTGACTAGGATTGCCAGCTCCAGGTAGGGAGATTCCTGTATATTTTCTTGTAGAATCTATCGAAGCCAGGCTTTGGGGAGGGGAGAGGCCTTAGCTGAACAGAATGCCATACAATCCACCTTCCAAAGCAGTTATTTTCTCCGGGTCTGGGGGGAGATCTGTTGTCTGGAGTTCAGTTGTGATACCTGTTGATCTTGTCCACCTGGAGGTTGGCTACCCTAGGCATAGCAGTCAGTCTGCTAGATCCAGGTTCTAGCTGTAGAAGCTGAGTGGGTGATTTTGGACCAGTCACAGACTTTCAGCCTAACCTACCTCACAGGGTTGTTGTGCAAGTCAAAAGGGGGAAAGGAGAATGATGTAAGCTGCTTTGGTCCCCATTGCAGAGAAAGACTACTTTTCCTCCTGGGAATCCACTGTTGCCAATCTCCAGGTGAAGGCTGGAGACCACTCAGAATTACAACTGCTCTCCAAATGGCAGAGATCAGTTCCCCTGGAGAAAATGGTGGTCTCTGTGGCAGTCAGGGCTTTAGAGCATGGAAGAGGCTGCAAGTGTGTGTGTGGGGGAAATGGAAAGCTAGAGGAAATAAAGGTAGGTTGATGATTGGCTGGGAAGGAGATTTGATGGATGGAACCCGGAGAGGGTGAGGTTTGAGGAGGGATGGGACCTCAGACAGGTACAATGCCATAAACTCCACCCTCCAAACCAGCCATTTCCTCCTGGGTAACAATTGTTGCCAATCTCCGGGTGAGGGCTGGAGATCACTGAAAATTACAATTGCTCTTCAGGTAGAAGAGATCAGTTTCTCTGGAGAAAATGGTGGACTCTGTGTCATTATACCCTGATGAGGTTGGCACAGCACATTGACGCTGAGTGCCCAAGGCCTTGGCACTCTCCCAGAGCCTCTTTCTAGAGCTTGTTGTATTTATTTCCACAAAGGGCCTTATTCCTAGTATTCAAATATAGCACTTTGGCCTATTAGTTGAATTCTACATAAGATATATCTCATTTGACCACTGTGGCTGATTTTTGAAACCAAAATTTGAGATGTGTGTAAATTTTAAATTATTTGACAAAAATTTTACCCCACCTTTCTATCCTCATCAGGGCCAACAAGGTGGCTAACAAATTCAAAACACACAAAGCCACATCTTAAAACCATTAAAAACAACTGAAACCACATCATTAGAACAATTACAATCTGCATTAAAATATATACACATAAACATAAAACATTGGTCAGGAAGGAGGGATCACTGATGGAATGCCATTGGTGGAAGATGGCAACAGAAGGGGACAGATGTGTTTCCCTGGGGAGAGAGATTCAGAGTTTTGGTGTCATAATTGAGAAGGCCCTTTTCCAGATTGCCACTTGCCTAATCTAAGAAGGTGGGGGCACCCAAATCAGGACCTAATCAAGATATAACCAGAGCATACAACCCAGTGGAAAGGCCGCAGCTGGCTAACCAGACAAAGCTGGTAAAAGGCAATCCTAGCCACAGCTGTCACCTGTTTATCCAGCTGCAGGCCTGGGTTGCAGAGCACCCTCAGACTATGGATCTCTTCCTCAAGGAGAATGCAACCCCATCTACCTTATATCCTGGGTCAGATCTCCTGTTCACCAGAAGAACATCCATTTTGTCAGGATTAAGCTTCAGTTTATTATGCCACATGTACTCCAAAACTGCCTACAGACACCAGTTCAGGGTTTCTACAGCCTTTCTGGGATCAGACACATGCACAAGATAGGGTTGCCATCCACTGGAATTAGGTGGGTATGATGGGTAGAGAAGATTAGGATCCAGGATAGATTAGCTATTTTCCTGACCTACTATTCAGAGAAGGGGCAGCACTATACTAATTGTACACCTGGCCAGAAGAGAGGCCTTATGCAGGATATAGGATGGGAAGGATAAAGCAACATCTGCTATCTCTCACTGCAATGCTCTATGTACACAGGTCATTTTAGGCAAGAGAAGACTAAAGCTTACACAATGTATTGGACCTTGGTCCTCATCTTAAAAAAAAATCCAGCAGAGATTTTCATGATTCTAACACATTAAGGGAGAAAAGAATAAGCTTCCAGTTCCCTGTGGCTGTTGCCCACTGGATGTCAGGATCAGTTCATGGATTAGTTACCCCAGCCTCACCATTTCAGAAGCATGCAGTAGTGTCAGGCCCTTGAATTGGTAAGACTCCCAAGGATGTGCCATTTGTAGGAATTAACACTTCCATGGAGGTGGTACATAAATAGTGGTTTCAGTTCCTGTGCTGGCAGCAGCCCTCTCATTGCACTAGAGAGGAAAAATGTGATTTCTAAACTTTGAGGTAGAATCAATGTATGTACCAGGAACAATCTGTTTTTCTTATCTAGAGATGTCCAATCTGTAGCCATTTGTCAGAAGATAATCGTATAATGTTTGGCAGTGCTGGTTTTCAGTTCACGTAGGAGTGCATAGGCATAAATCACCAAGTCATCTGGAGCATATGGCTTTGTTAGATTAAGGTTTAAATACCCTGATTAAGAGGATTATAGCGGCTCATATGTTTTTCTGCAACATGCAAGGAAACAAGACTAAGCCTTCAGTATTTTCAAGTTCCTCAAATAGAAGATCTTTCTTAAAACAGTAACATTTTGTAATTATCACAAGGAAATAATTTTTCATTTAATATAGTTTTGTTAGTAGGTTACATAGGATTTATATTTCCAACTTCAGTAACATAATTTTGCTGAGACAGCAGGTTCTTCTTTTACCAACATGTCCTTTTTCCTTTCCTTCCCACTCTCTTTAATGAGATAGTAAAAGCCTGCATCCAGGGCTTGCCTGTTCTTTCTTTCAGAACTTTGTATTATACCTAGTTGTTCTAAGTTGTTCAAAATAACCATTTCAACTAGGAATTCTAACGATCATATATGATAACAGAACATGAACCACAAAATCAAACAGCTCTTACCATGAGTGTGTATACTACAGAAATGAAAAGCTTGAATTTTGAAAATGTGGGAATAGATTATAGATGTTTGAAAATTCACACAGTAAACCATTTCATTTATTGGCTGTACAAAGGATTAAACAACTGCTGGTCCTCATTCTACTGTTCACCACTACTCTGAAATAAACAGTGCATATCACTTCGTCCTTTGCACTCAGTATGGTATTTTTAAAAGGGACCTTATCAACTATTTCTTTCCAAGAGGACAGAAATGGCTATTATGGAGTAAACAGATATTTCCAGGGACCGTTTGCTGGCTGGGATTCCTGTCATGACTTCTGATATTACAAAGGTAACATTAAACAGCATCACTCAATTACTGCCAATGATGGGTGAGGGCTACTGTAACAAGGGTACTTCAAGTGGCAGATGAGCAACAAAATGCCAGTGTGAATATACCTTTGTAACTATGGGTTTGGAGCCAAAGAGGCAAGGCGCTTGTTCCATGAGTCGATGGAGGAGTTAATCTTGTGCTTTTCAAACAGGAGCCATTGAGTAGTATATGGCAAATTGCTTTTGAAACTGAGAGGTGATGCTTCAAAAGCAGTTTGCAAGTGTATGTGTGTGCGTGTGTCTAGGTAAACATTTCCTTTGCTTGAAAGTCAGTCAAATCCGACTCTAGGGGGCAGTGCTCATCTCCGTTTCCAAGCCGAAGAGCTAGAGCTGTCCGAAGATGTTTCCATGGTCATGTAGCCGGCATGACTAGACGCCAAGGTGCACGGAACGCTGTTACCTTCCCACTGAAGTGGTACCTATTTATCTACTTGCAATTTCTTGCTTTCAAACTGCTAGGTTGGCAGGAGCTGGGGCCAGAGACAGGAGCTCACTCCATCATGAGGCACTCGGGTCTCGAGCTGCCAAGCTACTGACCTTCCAGTCTGCATCTAAACATCTTAACCACTGAGCCACCGCAGCCTATGTCTACCTTTACTGAAATTAAGCAGTTCTTGCTCCTAGTCCACATGCCTTTAAAAACAACCAGGTAGAAATATTACAGCAAAATTTTCATGAGAACAGCAGACACCGAGGACACAACCCAGTTAATGCTCTACAGCTCTGTCCCATTAATTTCAGTGGACAAATTAAGAATAT